GCTTGGGCAATCCTCTCCCCCCTTAAGCTAGCTTTTGGGCTGTGAGTTAGGCCTAAGACTTAAAGCTGTTTTTTGAAGGCTACTAAAACCTGCATGACCAAAACAAGTAGTACTAATTAATTAACTCATATTCATACTTGTTAATGTTGTGTTTGAATGTGTATATATATACCTGGTTTTCCTTTCAATTTCTGCCATAAATAATCAAAGTGATTAAGAAGGCGGACACAAAAAAGACGGTAAGAGAGCCTGCTGGAATTTTGAATTTGCCAACGCTAGGTTCCATAGTGGCAGCTTGTTCAACAGAAAATGTAATCATTTGTGCATAAGTTGTCCAGAAAAGTATAGTTGTGGCCCAAATTGGAATCAACCTAGCCATCATTTTAACTTCCTCCACTCGAGTGACTGTGCACAACTTCCATGGATTTGGATTTAAATCATGATCCACAAAATATCCTTGTGCTACAATAGTCTTGTATAGCATGACAACATCATACGGAACATCCATCTTCCTTTTCCTTGTAGCAGCCAAAATGACTTGAAATATTTGAACTATAGGACTTCCTGAACTTCTCTTGTACCGATATCTTTTAGTACCCGAGAAAAAGATTATAATCGCAATCACCATAGATATACAACAAATACCATAAGCCCAGCTTCTTCCAACTTCATCTTGAACATAAACATGCACTGTAACTGCTGCCAATATTCCAATACTTAAAATATGGGGAGGTAAATTGTTTGAACAAGTATTTTTTCAGTATACATGACAACTAAAAAGGAACGGATTGAGTATCTATTATCTACTTTTACCTGGCAATTATAGGGTTAAATTGGTCATTCAATAATATAGATTTCAGGGAGTAAATTATGTGTTTGCAGAGCCATTGGATTCTTGTTTTCACACCTGGGCAGAGTGACCACTTCTCTTGTGTTTGGACCAATGTAGTATTTGGACCGAACATACTAGTTTAGGAGACTAACAGTTTCTCCTTAACGGAAGCGGATCTATAGCAACCATGTCTGGTGTCATCATATATATAGTAACTATTCTCAAGGGTCTTAACTGTATCTAGAATAGTAAATTCACATGAACTGAAGAGAAAACAGAACACCCAATGTAGTGTCTCAGTGTACAGATATTTCAAATTTGAACATATTTGACTGAAAATCTAATAACTTTTACAAATGAAACAGTGCATTTGGAGATAAAGTGACTGCATCACCAATCCAATAAAAAATAAAATTTGTCCCTAGAAAGAGCCAGCTTTCCACTTTTGAACTCTACCGGATGCCAGTTCTGATTTTCCCAATCAAATTTGTAGGTTGTTACTTCTTGTAATTTACTACGCAAAAGGCCTGCTTTCATGACTCGAACTCTTCATATTCATTAAACGATCCATAAAACATGAAATCATTTTACTAGTTGTGACAAGGAAGACTTTTCTAGGATGACAATTCCATTGCAAATTTGCATCCACAAAAATCTTAGGAATTTGATCTCCTATATACTTTAGTGATACCAAATTTGGAGAATTGATAATATCCAACATAGGATACCCTTCCCCAGCATCAAAATAGTACAAGTGTTCAAGAGTTGATGCTTCAATTTTAACACGTTGGTTTCTAAATGTCTTAATAGTAACTGACTTGATCCTTTGAAGATTCAACAACTCAATCTTTTCCAACCCAAAACAATGCTCTAGGACGAGACTGACAATCAATGAACATTTATTAAGTAGAGTCTGGAGCATGTTATCGTCTAAACTTATATAAGAAAGAGAAAGCTTTCTCAACGAATTGTAGTTCACCACATCACTAGATAACGGAACACGCTTCTAATTAAAACCATTCAGAACCAATTCTCTTAAAGATTTCGCTGCAAAGATTGTGAAAATAGGTAAGGTGTATGATGTATAGCGAGGAACTCCAAAGATGATATCTTTTACACCATTCTGAAGAGCAATGTGAAGCCACTTATCAAACAAAGGAAAAATTTCTTGGGAATAACTAGAGTCAGATAATTCAAACCTTTCTATAGGGATTTTTTTTTCCATCGTGATATCTCTCCATGATACTATCCACTTTTTTCATATTGTCATTAATCAACTTTGAATTCCAAATTGGGATGAGTCGACCAGACTCGTAACATGTTTTGGAGAGAATGCTCATCTTGGTTGCTTCTTTAAAACTAAGAAAAGAGAGTATGATAAGTGCTAATGCTCCTAGATGTTTTGATGATCTCCTCACAAGTGCAGGGACCTGGTCCTCTGCAGCGTATGATACTCGTCCAGCTGTCAAAGTGCTGTAAAAGCTGTCTGCGTCAGAAAGTTGGTGAAGCTGCAGAAGCAAGGAGGTTGCTTGTACGTTTGGTAATAACTTTTCATGTCTAAATATATCCACACAAAAAAAACTAATTCATTCATTCAAAAGGAGAGAGCCAGCACGTATTCTCAAGAACTTATTAAGAGAAGTTTGCAAGGGACCTGGTCCTTGCAAGACTGCGATGTGAAAGGACGACAAGACATCTGTCAGAAAAGCTGCCACTTCTGATATGGTAGGTGCACAACCTTTCTAAACAGCAGGCTCTCAACCAATGGGCGGTCCCAAGGAGTTTGTGTTCATTTTAATATAGTCTCTTCCAACAAAACACAAACTCAAGACTTGGCAAAAAAAAAAACTCAGATTTTCTCTGAAAAATTTACAAGCTTTAAAAGAAGGCCATCTTCAAGGAAGAACAATACTCATGCTCAACAAAGGGACCTGATAAAGTGTTGAAGCGTCTTTGTTGAGTTTGAGTTTTGTTAGTTTTTGCAACTTGAAATTTCTCAAGAACACTTGCAAAGACTCACTTTCAAGAAGTATTCTCCGGCAAGCACAACTAGGAACTGATCAAGCTGCAAGCATCTGAGTGTGTCTTAGGAGTTATACTTCCGTGCTTATATTGTAAATCTGTTCCTAGTCTATAAAGGATTCAGATATTTTTTTCTGTGTGGAAAGGTCTAAGTCGGTTAGAGTTAGCCGATTTAGTGAGTAGTGTTGTATCTGCTCATTCAAAGTCTAAGTCATCTAGGAGCTAGTTGATTTAGTGGGCTGTGTGGTATCCGCTTAGAAAAGTCTAAGTTATCTAAGGTTAGTGGGCAGTGTTGTATATGCTCTGGCTCATCTAAGTAATAGGAGGTATTGCTTAGAGTTGGGATTAGTAGGCTAATCTCGGTTTGTAAACTTGCTTTTACTTTTGCTTGGAGAAGATTAGTGAAAGAAGTTTGAAAAGTCCTGGCAGGCCAGGTCGTGGTTTTACTCCCTTGAGCAAGGAGGTTTCCACGTAAAGTTGTTGTGCAATCTTTACTTTCAGCACTTAGTTTATTTTCTGTTATTGCAACTGTGCTGAGGACCTGGTCCCATCTAGACTAGTGGACGCATACATTCCAACAGAGTATTTTGTGAATGAGACAATCAGACAATATGTCAGATGTGGTTCTCGTCATGATTAGTTTGTTGATCTCTCTGGAAAAAGTATTAGGTGACTCTTGAATTTATAGCTTTTGGTTTCGTTAATGCATAATTTGTCCTTTTTTCCTTAATTGTTCCGATTGACACTTAAATTCTAGGGAAAAGGGTCTCTGATAAACCCTAAACTTTGTAATTTATAACTCATATACCCTTGTTATAAAAATTACACATATATACCCTGACGTTACACAATTGGCACATATATACCCTTTTCATAATCCATGTATAAAACTCATTCTATCAATTTATTTTGGTACGCGAGATAAGGTGAGATTTCCCAGGATTAAGTTTATACAGAGTTTGATGACTGTATAAATTTATAATATCTGTCTGTGTTCCAAAAGAGTTGTTTTTTAAGTAGGAAACAGAAACGGACAGAGTAAAAGAAAAAATCCCCAACCTGTCAAGACTACATCTTTCGGTTACAAAGGAGTATGCTGTTAAAGAATCTTGGACAAAAATGTTTGTATTGTGTTTACAGTGCCACTTTTAGTTTCAAATTTCTTATGTTTGGACAAAATTTCTTCTTGTACAATCTGAAGGATGAGTCAATCAGATATCCAAAGTTTAATAAGTTTTGTTTCTGCCTAGTCAATTTGCCTTGAGAGCCTACTTTCTCCGGTTTTACAAAATGAACAAATCACAAACACAACAAGAATGAAGGATGCTCAGATGGACACAATTGTGTAAGTACTGACTTGTAAGAGTACTTCCACTGGATACATTTTCTTGTCAAATATGGAAAAAATACATTGCATTTATAACTATTAGATAGCCAGTTCTAAAACGTAAAGTAAATAGTGAGGTGTATGGGGTACCATGCTTTTCCCTAACTATTCTTACAGGGACCTCCTTATCACTGATTGCACCAAACTCCCCACTTTCATTTTGCGTAACCCCAAAGCAATGCTCCAAACCATCTACCATGTACCATAGCCAACTCATTCCTTCTTGTTGACATTTGACTCGAACTTAATCTTGTATATCCTCTTTAACCGGATATATAATTGTTGTGGTTAATCCTTTATATATCATACTTTATCAGAAAAAATCATATGAAATAGAATTTTACAGAAGGTAGCTTCTGATCCACTTTTTCATTATGTCTACTCCCTTGTTCAAATAAAATTTTGTTGAATGATTCAATTTAAAAGTTCCGGTAGATACAAGTTCTTTAATGATCTAAAATAAAGCGTAAAGATAAAGATCTTATCAATAGATTTGGTTAAACTATATCGATAACTAATTAATTAAGTAGAAAAATCTTTAACTATCATGTTTAAATTAATATGGAAATATTAGCCTAGGAACATTCCAACATAATGTTGGAAGTCATTTTTTTCATACACTAAAGAAAATTGAATATTAGAATAGGGTGATCCGATAGCAAAAAAGGGAATAATATCCAAAATAGGTTTTTTTAAATTGTCCTCTAAAGATGTATATTAGAAGACTCTGACAGTAGTACACAGTCCATATAAACTCAAATGGAATCGGAAGCCGCCTATCAACAAAGCAAACCCACAAAGTCAATGTTGCCATTCTCTATCCTTCCACCGGAACTCAATACTGACATCCTCTTAAGGCTTCCAGTGAGTTCCGTCTTGAAAATTAGGACTGTTTCAAAATCTTGTCTTGCTTTCACCTCTACCCCTGAATTTATCAAGGCCCATCTTAGTGTATCTGCTAACCATAAGCTTTTGTTGAGTTTTAGTCAACCCAACTTCAATCTGAAAGAATGTTCTCTTACATCTTTACTTTATAGCTCTGTTCTAGATACATCAGACTTGGATTATCCCATGAAAACATATTTTTGGTTTATTGTAGGTTCAGTCAATGGACTGATTTGTCTTTCTAATAGGGCAAATGAATTGTGTCTATGGAATCCATCAATTAGAAAGCACAAAATATTGCCTAATTTTACATTCAAGTTTAGGGATGCTGCAAGATTTATTATGGTTTTGGATATGATGAGTTTCATGATGACTATAAGGTAGTTGCATGTATTTACCTTCACGGGAGTTTGCCTTTATTTGGAGACTACGTCAAAATATATAGTCTAAAGGATGATTCTTGGAGAAGCATCAATTTTCCCCGGGATTGGGTGAAATCCTTTAACTGTGGTAAGTTTGTGAATGGGAAGCTTAATTGGGCTTATAGGTCTTACTGTACGGGTCCTTTTTGGCGTAAGGGTTGGAACATCATTTCTCTTGATTTGGCTGATGAGAAATGGGAAAAGGTAGAGACACCTTGTTATAGTAAAGAAGATGGTGTTTTTGAGTTGGGAGTGTTGGAAAATAATCTTTCTGTGATACGTAATGGCAATTATGAAGGAACTGACCTAGATGTCTGGGTTATGAAGGAGTATGGGGTTAAAGAATCTTGGATGAAGATGTTTACCTTTCGGTATCCTCATCCTTGTTTGATGTTTTTGTTTAATCCACCCCATTTAATTTCAAATAAAGGTAAAATTTTGTTGATGTGCGGAAAAACTTTCCTGTTGTACAATCTGAAGGATGAATCAATCACCTATCCCAAGTTTACTACGTTTGGATCTGATCTTGTTTCTGTGGAGTCAACTTACCTTGAGGGCCTAGTTTCTCCGGTTTTACAAAACGATCAGGGACACAACAAGAATGAAGTGTGCGAAAGCTCACATGGTCGCAATTGTGTAACTAATGACTTGTAAGAGTTCCACTTTATACATTTGTCTCATGTGTCTTATGTGTAGTTGGTAGTGAAATAGAGCTTGTCTTTTGAATTAACTAAGATAAGAGTCTCTAATCAAAGTTATCTTTGATGCATGTTAATGTAGGCTGCTGCGCATGGGATAGCCTTGCTTCTGCCGCTTTCTACAGATGTGTATTATTGAATTTTCAGGAACTGAAAGCTGATGTTAGAAACAACTGATTCACGCCCCATACTGATTGCACTTATCAAAATGATGAAGCGTGGTTATTCCATGTTCTCAACGTTCACTATGATATGCTAATATTATTTCCATTTCCATATGCAAGAACATATATTTTTGAATGCTAGTTCATTATCTTACTTAGTGAGTAGCTTGAACCTTGAAGGTTTGTTGTGACAAAAGATTGAGTAAGATTCTCTTTTCCTTGAATGTTTGTACGTAGTATCAGGTTGAACTTCGTCTGGCAAGAAGTTAATGTCCCCTTTGTTAGGTTGTTGCTTCATTATCTTAGTCATGATTTGTTCAATATGTAATACTTTTAATCAGTTGTAGAGTTTTTGGAACTCTGTTTATTTGAGTTGTTTTTGCAAAACCTGTGAAGATCAGCATGGTCAATCTATGCTTAGGATCAGGTGTCGTGACACAGAATTCCAGACAAGATCAGCAACATCCGGTTTCGCTTGGTTACCAAACCGTGTAAAATAGTCACTTGTAATTGAATACTTCCCACTGTCAGTAAGGAGGAACTGCCCCTGTGCCTAGCCTTCCTGCATCCTATCGTTTAATAAATTGATCTTCCGCCAATATCAACTGTGCTGTCCAGAGGAGCTTTGTGAGATCAATGCTCCTTTCTTCCAATGATCTTCTAGAACTAAATTGACTAGGTGCAGATTTCGAACAAGCAATGCACCTGGTGGCTGCTAAATCCTGTCTCTTTACCAAAACTTTATAAATCGAAACACAATCACTTCCAATCTTTGGGTCTCAATCATGCCAACCATTTCTTGTGCAAAGTTTTAATACCTTATGTAACTTATTCTTTCTCATGCTAATTCCTCCCCTTTCTCCTTTGTTGCTTTAGTAGCATCCCCTGTATCTTTTGTGTTGTCATTAATTAGCAAGGTTGCAAATGCATTATGAGTATTGATACCTTCGGTATCTTTTCCAGTTTCTTCCTTCTTTTTTGCCATTGTCTGTACCTATTATCTTTTGCATATTTACTTCTTCTCTGCATCCATTCCTGCTTTTTTTGTGTATTTCCAACAACTTTACCACTTCTCAATATTCTGGTCTGTGTGGCAGCAGTGCCCACCTTGTCCTTGTTCTCCCCACAATTCTCTCTGAATATCTTTCCAGTTCTGGATGTAATTTAGCTTCTCTATGTCCTTGTAATTAACAATGATTGCAATATTTCGGTAGATAGTCAACTTAATGGTAATCCATTTAGAATTAACTTCCCTTCTGACTTCATCTCATCCTCTTCTGCAATTTTGATTTCTCTTAGGTCTAGTCTACCTCAACTTTTACCTTTGCACAACTAGCTCTAGTCATATTTTGTGTCGCCATATCTACTGTTAATGGTTTTCCAACTGCAGAAGCCAGTGAGAAACTGCTTCTCTGGCAAATAAATTAGGTGGCAAGTCTGGAAAACTAATCCATGCTACTGCTATGGAGGTCTCCTCCTCTGGAACAAACCAAGGATTCCACTTCAATGGCCTCGTCTGACAGTATAGATTGTGAACCTTCAGATAGTATTTTGGGGTGGGTCGACATCATCTTCACATAGTCCTTCAGTAATGATAGTCGAATCAAGACATATCTATTTTCTAAGAGCCCTATGTTGCATGGCCTTTTGATCTCGCTCTGTGCTGGGATTACTCTGCATATCTATTTTCTAAGAGCCCTATTTTCCCAGAATTGCATATTGTGTTGAACTTCTGATGACTTCCAAGTAATTTGAGGCTCTCCATGTAAATATACCACTGTTTTCCTCTGAATTGGTTTCGTAATCATGTTGTTTTGGTCTGGTTTTAAAACTTCCGAGTACTTTGTAGTGAGGGGTGGAGGTTGTATTATGGATGTGGACAGAGTGGTTTTTAAAACTTCTGAGTACTCTGGTGGAGGCAGTCCGCCGACCACCAGGGCCATTGATGGCAGTACAAAGTATAATCTTTTGCAAATTAAACACCTCTCCGTCCCCTGACATTCCACACCATAATCTTCGACTCTACCATAATATATCCTTACATTATGTATCTTCTGATCTGCAAAAATGTTATTGGCTGCACATCAGATGTTAAGATTTCTCTGCTTCTGTTTGACATCAGTCACAAAGTTGTACTTTGTCGAAATGGTTGCTTAGATCTGTCCTCCAATAGCTTCAGCTTCTTCCTTAATTTTCAAAGCTGAGGCCTCCAGAGATTTGCTCTTGCACAATTTAATCTTTTTCAGTGTTTGAATATCTGCAAAGCTAAGGGGAATCTCCTAGAGCTCGTGACACTTTTTTATAACAAGCCTTTCAAGAAGGGGAAAAGATTCCTCAGACACATCTCATCTTGAGATGTTTAAGTACTCCAATTTCAGGAACTTAAGTTTATGGAACGTGAGATCTCCAAGGCACCACTCTTCCAATTGAATAAAATTTGGAAGACCCCAATGGAAGAAATTATGCTTTCTAAACGAGTACCCCATCGTACTAACTTCTTTAAATTTGAATGCAACTGTAGCTTGGATATATTTAACTTGAATGAGTCAATGGGAAGGCAAAGTATTTGAACCTAGGTAAGACTCTCCAATTGAAAAATCTCTACACAATCTTCATCGCACCAAATATTGATCTCAAGTGCTTGAAGATTAGGACACCTCCGTAATATCATCACCACCAATTTTAATCGCAACTTGCCTTAACATCCTCAAATTTTCCAATTTAGAGAATTCTTAAAAGATCCATTTCCTGTTGGTTTTCAAATCAAAAACAGCATCATTAATCTCAAATGTTTTCATTTTCCAAAAAATTGGTGGTAACACTGGACGCCTGAATGGACACAGCACAATAAAGGTTTCTAGATGGGAAAAAGATGTGATTCGGGATGAAAATAGAATTTATTTGCAGAAACTGCCAAGTAGTGGTTGCAATGTAACTGATAACAAACGACCCACTCTATGGGAACTCAAATTCAAGACCTTAAGAAGTTTCAATTTACTAATGAGATCCATCAAGTAACCTTCAGCTACTTCTTCCAATCTTCCAGATTTGACGTTTTGCATGAAACCTTCCGCAAGCCAAAAATTTGACAATTAAGATGCTGAAATGATGTGGTCCTCTGGAAACATCTCCATGTAAAGAACGCAAGGCTTTAAATAATCGGGTAAGTTATCATAACTTAAATGCATAGTTTTTAACTTCATGCCACCAAGATTCTTCCATCTTCCTTTTTATGATATCAGCTACCAAGATTACCGCTAGGGGCAATCCTTTGCATCTTCTTGCAACTTCTAGACTCACGTCATGTAGTTCAAACTTTTTTCTGCAACAGTTCCCAACTCTCTTTTAGTGTGAGGAATGGAAGGAAATAAGGATTGGTGTGGTGCTTGACATACTCACCCGCTTTCTCAAGTCAAGTTGAAACTACTATTCTACTTATATTCTCATCATCTGGGAGAGATAATTGCAACTCATCCCATTCCATACCATCCCACATATCATCCAATGCGATGAAATATCTCTTTCCCAATAATCTTTTCTGCAACATATCAGCAAGTTTGCCAACCTCATCCACCTTGATCTTGAAACCAGTAACTTGGCTGAAAATATATCGTAATAGCTCTCTCCAGTTATATGTTTGGGAAATGATGTACCATGCTCGAACATCAAAATGAGAAACAATGACTTCATTATTATACAACAATCTCACACAAGTTGTTTTGCCTTGTTCCCCCATTCCAACAATTGGTATGACATCTAGCTCATTTGTCCCTCGAGTCAGATACAGAGAACTGCAGCTTCTATTTTATCTCTTAAAAGATACAAAATTCACAGATATCACAAGTCTAAAACAGAACATATGCAACTGAACTTCTCTTATTTATGCTCTGCTCTGTGTCGAAAATGTTTGTTTCAGTAGAACTCATTGATTATATGTTACATTCACCATGTGCGCTAAATATTACTAAGTAACCCTCACTTCAACCTATCTGGTGCTCTCAATTCTGACGTTAATTTTCAGCAACAAGAGTATAAAGTTAAATGAAGACGAATGCACGACAAATTAAAGGTGATAGGGAGGGGAGATTGTCTTTCTGAGACACCCATGAAATAGAATGTTAAGAAAATTCGTTAAAAGAAAACCAGCGTTGGCATCATCACGTAATTGTGGAATGAAAACTAGTGCAACAACTTTTGTACATAAGTCCCCACAGACAGGTCTCACTCAGAACTCTACTGTGAGTGACATCTTTCAAAATGGAGACTGGAAACTGCCTCGAAGAAAGGGGCACATCTGACTTACCAAAACATCTGTCGAACGACATCTATAAGTAAAAAAGACTAACAAACTGGGGCATTTTTATTGAAAGGGCAAACTATTACATAGTAGTACTGGAACAAAAGTAAAGTAGTAGAAGGACTCGAAGCTTAAAACATGTAAAATAAAAAAAACTAATAAACCATCAGCGACTCCCAAGCACACATACAAGTATATGTGCATTCAATTTGCACATAGAAATAGAATGAACTGCATCACCACTCTAACGTAAAATAAAATTTCTCCCCTTCCTTAAGGATCCTTGTTGCCCGCTCCTCACTTCTGAACTCAACAAGCTGCCCAATCAAATCTAATTTGTAGACTTTTACGTCTTTTAATTGACTATGCAAAGACTTGCTTCCATTAGGAGTAGAATAATTTGGGCTCTTCATATACATTAAACGGTCCATGAAAGATGAAATCGTTTTACTAGTTGACTCAAGGATGAGTCTCTTAGGATAACAACTCCATTGAAAATTAGCATCCACAAAAGTCTCAGGAATTTGATCTCCCTTATACTCTAGTGACACTAAATTTGGAACATCAAGCATATCCAACATAGAAGACTCTTTTGGAACACTAAAATAAGACAAGTGTTCAAGTGTTGGTGCTTGAATTTTAACTTGTTGGTTTCTACCTTTCCAAATGGAAATTGACTTGATATTCTGAAGATTGACCAGTTCAATCTTTTCCAA